CCTGCTAAACGTCAGCATGCTAACAACAAGCATTTAGCTTGAAGCACAGCTGTGCCTAAGTGCAGCCTCACAGAGCTGCTAGCATGGCTGGAGACTCTTGTTAAATTGAATTTGGGTGCCAAATTCAATGCGAGACAGGTGGTCAAACAGCTTTCACTGATTTCAATGGGCATATCGATGGGATCAAACACACACACATACATACTGTACAAACACAGAAATGCATCACCGTTGAGCAGCACTCAGAAGTCCCACTCTACCATATGTACTTTCTTTTGCAAAGGCATAGCTTTCAAGGACAAGTCAAAATGTCGCCCGTGGGAAATGTAGTGGACCAAGTGACCCAAAACGGACATCAGATCACTTTGTGCTCATGTAACAGCTACACTCTGAATCAATATTCATGTCAGTGCTAAAAAGCCTCCACCATAACAGCAATAACAATCTCCAAAACAGGAACCATGCATTTTACCCCACTTCTCCCTCGACACTTCTGGCGTTTCTGTGCCTCTTAACTTTTTCTAAATCTATTTTGGCATCAGCACCGTTCATCGAGGGAGTGGAAAGGATGACAGAAGAGCTCCAGAAAAAAGGAAGTAGGAAGGAGGAGGACCCTCCTGTCTCTGTTGCCATAAAGACGGAGGGAAGTTTCTTATGTAAAGCAAGAGAGAGGTTGACCTTCCCAAGTAAATAGACTATGGGCTGTGTCACATAGTTGGCAGACACACAACTATTCCATCAACTCCACCATAAATGGTAACACTCCTAACTGCACGGAGAGATAAAGCAGACACCCCCTCCTTACTCGTCCAACCCGTCCGCCTCCACTCTTCCACCCATCACCCCTTCTGTTCCTTCACCTCCACGTCCTTACACTGTCATCCCTATCCAACACTCTATTTAATCATCTTTTTATCCTTCCATCTCTGTGGCACACACACATTTACATACGCCGCACTCGCTGCCCTCAAAGCGAGAACATGTATGCGCCATTTCCCAAGCAGCGCAGAGTGTTTGTGTGTACATATTTGTGAGTGTACGTTTAAATGATAGGAAGCAGATAGGGGGGCTCTGTTGTGTGTCATGGACAGTCAGGGTTCAGGCACTATAGCTCCATACACACTGATGGCCTGCAGGGTAACAACATGCCTGTGTCTTGAGATAAAAGTAAGTAAGTGAGTAAAATTTATTAAGCTATAGAGTCAATATTCATAGGCTCATGAGTCACAGTCTGACAAAAAAGAGATTTTACCTCTTTGAACTCTGGGTGAAGACTGAAGAATACCCATGTCTGACACTGCTGATATACCAGGACATTAAAAGTTATACACAAAATTCTCTTTCCCCTAGACGTCACACTAGAGCATCAGCATCTCAGACAAAAACAATGAGCACTACAGCAGAACAGACTCAATTGCCAGTGTCTGACTAACATTATGGAAAGGATTCCTGGAGATATAGACCTTTAGTTTATCCAGAAACAGCTGTACTATCTCTATCACTCGCAACAGAAAAAATAAAACTCAACAAAACCATCTTTGCCAGGCTTTCCACTGCTCCAATCACCAACTCTGGTTGGGGTACAAATAAATCACAGCTTCAGTCGCTGTCCTCAGTTGTACATTTTCAGCATTTTTCATGTCTTTATTAGTTAGTGCCAGCAGAGAGATGACAGGAAAAGAGGAAGAGAGAGATGCAACAAAAGTCCTCTGCTGGACTCAATTGGTCTCTTAACCCCGAAGCCATACAATAATAGTTTATCTTGACTTAAAAGATTCTGCTGAAAAAATAGTCTCAGATGATTAATACATACGAAAAATGTTCTATTGTCTAGTCAATTAAACAAGCATATACCATTGGGCACATTGCATTATACAGCATCAATCATTCATTAGTGCAACTCCTCTGTCCTCTGCAACTTTTCACCAAAAACTACACATCTCCCAGAGGGACAGATCATTTAGAAAATGCGTTGATGTTGGAAATGCACATACCGTCAACAATAACACGTTTGTATTATTAACAGATGAAAGGCTACTAGATTATACCTAGTTTCACTGACTCAAGTATTTCTGTGCCATAAGCAAATCCGGTGAGAAATACAGCTGCAGAAACTATACCTTTGTGACAACATGTGCTCTTCTGTCAGGTACATCAATCCTTAATTAATAATCAGCATAATTCATGATTAATAAGCCCATCATATGTCATTAATATTATTGCCAGCAGAAACACTGATTGGCCTTGACAGATTTGCACTTGAAGTTGGATTCACTTTGTCTGTGTGTTCATCAATTACTCATCAGGGTGGATGTGAAATTCTCCTTAAGACACAGTCAGGACTCCACAACCTTATTTGCCGCTGAATGACACATCATACCAGATCTGCTATGTATATATATCATCCATTTACAGAACAGAAGGGGGTACTGCAAAACGGGCCTGCCGCACTCGACAGAGAGACACAATTTCTTAAAAGGACGGCTTTTTAAAAACACTACTATTTGCAGATGATATCCAGAAACGTTTATCCCTGTGTATCAGAGAGGTGTACGGATTAATGATACACCCAACAAATGATGAATGAACATCACATGCTCAATAACTGATATTTGCAGAACACATACAGTTGCTTGCTCTCCATTAAAACCTTTGTTTTTTTGACATTGAACACAGTAGGACAGACTTGCCTCAACCTAATTCCTAAAGTGGCAGTTGCACGGGGTACACACTGAGTGCAAAACTCCAGCAGAAAACTTGGCTGGAGGATGTATGGAAACTGAAACCCAGCCTCTTCTCCATGTGGATGCAGTTACAGAGACAAACAGAGGCTTAGTGATCCTTGTGTCTATTGGATGTCGATGGGCTTGCAATCAATGAAGCGTCTCAGTAAAGTTTTCAGCAGCCTGTCTGGAGACTAGAGGGATCCATGCTACCCAAATTAGGAGTTAGGGTTAGGATAAGAGCACTCAAGACCTTAGGGGAGTGAGATAAGAAGGAAGAAGAAGATGGGGAGAAGAAGGAGGGCATAGCAAGGAAGAAAATAAGAATATTAGCAAAAGTGAAAAGAGAGTGAGAAGAACAACAAGGAGGTGAAAGGGAAGAAGAAAGGAAAAGAGTGGGAGGAGGGAGGCAACACAAGAGGAGAAAACAAATGACAGTAAAAATAGGAAGGTAAGAAAGGCAGGAGCAAGGGGAGAAGGAGAAGGAGAAGAGTCAGGGAAAGAAGGGTTGGACAACAGTGGAGAGTAGAAAGCTATAAAAGCTCCTGTGTGTGTGTGCTGTGGATGTTTAGCATCTGGATTTGTTTAGAGGCACTGGGTCAGGGACTGAAAGTAACCCCATACAACCTGGCTCTACTACTCCTACCTCACACCAACACACACACAAACAAACACTTGTGTCACTTAACTTTACTTGTGTTATATAACTTTATACAAAATCACACACGCCAATAACACATCTCAGAACTCAAACCCACACTTGGCAAACTGTTTTATGTAAAAACACTCATCTCATCAGAAGAAAACGTTGTGAAACCATGAGTTCTTGATACAGTATTTGCGCTAATTAAATGCATTTGTGCTGTCGGAAAATCGGTCACGCACAGGAAGTAAGACTGATTCTTGTAGCTCAACGCAAACTGCCAGGGAAGCAGTCAGGGTGGATTTTGGGCGTACAAAGAGCAGGACTTTGACACCAGAGTCTGGGATTTGCTAGCCTATGAACCAGACCAATGTGCAAGGTCATGCAAGGTTAGATAAGGCTTGAAAATAATATTGAATAAGTCAACGTGTCAGGCTCAAGTGCTGACTTTTTCAATTTTTTTCCCCAAACTCTCCCAAGTTGCTTTGAGTTGCTTCAGTGTAACTGTAATATCATTATTTATGTTACTCTATATGAAAATGATTCCAATGGATATCATACAGTGGAGTTAGATAATGAAGTTATAAGAATAAAATAGTAATAGATTGGTATCCTACATCAGCAGATAACCTTTGTTTAGATATTGGAATTGGTAGAGAAAGTTGGATTGGTGTATCTCTAGTGATCACAGTCTCTTATTGTATATTCTTACATCAGATCCATCATTCTTATTCAATCTCATCTTCATATTTATTACATCAGGTGTGTATCTGTACAGCTGGTATTAATAAGTGTTCTCTTATCTATTGGGTGCATGTTGTAATCCGACTGCTATGCAACTTGTTGACGCTAGCTGATTTGTCAACAAACACATGTGTGCTAGGTTAAGGGAAGTGATGCTACTGTACGTGCTATACTGTGCTTTTCTTTGCTATGAAAGAGGTCATGTTTAGTGTTATGACGTTGAGGTAGCAAGGAGAGGTGGACTTCATGACCTTTAAACTTGTTGGGTGGATATTTTTCACATTCACACCTGGTTGAGATCGGATCACAAACAACCTCCAGATGTGTTCCGGTCAGTCAGATAGTATTACAACTGTAGTGTTTTGCATGCATTTACACCCCACATTCAAGTGCCTTTTTCCTGATAAAGATAAGCTGCACTGATACAGACTGCATGTAAATATCACCTGTTAATGGGGTCAAGAGAAAGAAACCCAAGAGGAAAAATTGCAGATTGAGAATGAAAGCTGTTATGGGGCCTTCCCCACCCGTTAAATCACCTCTGTTCCTATTTCTCTGTCTCTCATACTCTCCCATTTCCGCTTTCTTTCTCACATGGCTGTAATTACGCTCCTGTAAACAAACAAGACCAGACAGAGACATCAGGAATTCCAGTTGGGTCTGTGGAAGATGTGTAACTTACGCAATCTCACAGAGTGGATCGGGAGGTTAAACCAACACCTTCCTACAGTCTTACATTCGCTCTCATCTGGCTTCCTGTTATGGATAAATGTAAATTTCCATTGTTCCTCTGTGTAGGCATTCAGGTTTGCTACTCCTTACCCAGGCAACAACTGTATTCCACTTTACACACACTTTTCATAATAAGACCTACAGAAACACACACTTACCTGCTCATGGTACTCGATCCCCATGCTCAGAGTATTGATCAGAATGGCGATCATAATCCCTTGTCCAAAGTACTTGCTGTCCACAATCTTCCTGAATGTGTCGCACACCAGCCTCCAGAAGCGAACTATGTTCCCCGCCGTTTTGCCAAGCCTACACTGCTTCTTTTTTGGCTGCCGGCTGTCTCTCCTGTCCCTGTGGTGGAGGTCTTGGGTGAACTCATATACGCCCTCGCTGTCGGAGTCTCCGGGGGTCTCGTTGCCTTCAGGGCCACCCTCTGATTCGTTGGCTAGCTTGGCGCAGTAGGGGCAACTCTCTGGGTCCAATGTCAAAGCGGCTGTGTCCATGGCACTGCTGGTGGTGCTGAGGTCACGAGCCGACAGCTGGCAGGAGAGCTGGGCTGCAGGCGAGTGAGAAAGGTCAGAGGGAGAAACTGATACAAAGAGAAGGAAATGGCAGAGAAATCAGCGTGATTGTGATAAATTACAAAAATGAAGTGGTTTAGACAGATTGTCAAATCCAATGAAAGAGATCTGTTGTGAAAAACATTTGTGGACATTTGCGTGTGTGTCAGAGGGCGTGTGTTTGATGGTGATGGGCAGTGTGTGCTGTATGAGTAATGCCATCTCTACAGGCTGTGCTGTGGCCTGTCTGGCCGGCTGCCAGCGTTTCCACCGTCTGTACAACCTGAACAGACCTGGCCTGACTTTTGCTGAGCCCACTGCCTTTTAGAACTTGGCCAGGGGCAGACGGAGCTGGCTGCGAGCTAGGACATGAGGGATTAACATTTATTGACTGCGATTAGCACTCTTTCTGTCTGACACGAAAAATCCCCACACTGGATAGTGTTATAGTTTGAGGCTTAATCACGACAAATGGATATCGCACTCCACCAAATAGGTGATTGCAGAAATAGGAACACTTCCAGTGTCGTGTCACTTGCTTTGCTTCTACACCGATATGGAAATATGGACTAAATGATACTCTTGTTATTTTCAAACCCTTGTATGCCTTCCAGATTTTTACTTAATGGGAACGCTCAGCGAAGCAAACCCTATCCACCATGGCTAACTCAAGGGAATGCAGCTAATGGAACTAATCAAACACTTTCCAAGTTTTTTATTGTATGTTATGACCATGACTTTCAATGCAACGTATCGTATAATTTGTTGTGATTTGTCTACCTGTGGCAGCGTGTGTGTCCAACAGGCTCGATGGCCGTCTCTCCAGGGGCATGGGCGGGATATTCAGATTGAAGCTGATGTTAGTCAGAGTACTGGCAGCAGCACTTCCTCGTCTGGACTCGGCCAGGGCTCGAGTCTGCAGGGTGGGGTAGTTCTTAGGCCCTGGGGCTGCAAAGGGTACAGAGTTCCTCTTCATGGCCCTGGACATGGGAGCCGGGGCTAGGGAGAAGGGGCCTATGGTCGGCCCCAGGTTTGTGGGCGAGGGGGAACACCGAAGAGCCTCTGCATGGAATACGCTGCGAACCGAAGATGAATCGGCAGCTCCCGTGGCAGGGTTGAACAAAGTGGCTAGGTTTGTATCAGAGGTGGCTGCTGTCACTGAAGGCGGCGGGGCTAAAGAAAGTTGCCTGGTGCCGGTGGTTGCTACAAGGGCCCCTCCGCTGTTGTTATGGGCACCGACCTCCACATCCCTACCCTCCAGACACCTGATGCTCCCTCCTCCCCTCACGCTGCCATTCCCCAGGTGGTAGTGGTGGTGATGATGGTGCATCATGTGATGAACCGACACAGATCCCTGCCTGGAACACTTCCTCCTCCTTCTTTGGCTGCGTTGGGGCGTGGCAGGTGGGGGCGTAGCGGGGATGTTGAACCCGGCTCGGCGGGCCAGAAGCCTGGAGATATGGGCCACTTGTTTGGCCCCATTGCGGATGATTTCAACCAGGCACTTAAGCAGCTCGTCGTAGCAGGAGCCCGGCTCGGAGTGGGAGGCCAGAGTGCTGGCGTTGGACATGTAGCGCTCCCGCTGGTTCTTCATTAGTTGACTCTCTTTCTGCTTGGTCTCCGAGAACTGAGTGGCGATGACCACCAGGCACAGGTTGATCATGAAGAATGAGCCAATCTAAAGACAAGGAGGCGTAGATGACATTGTTATTCACACACTCTCAATTGATGCTCACACATCCGTCCCTCGACTGACCCACTTATTCAATCATCAGTGGACACACTCGCACACAGCCGGTGGCACCATGAAGTGGCACTTACAATGATGAGTAGGATGAAGTAGATGAAGTTGTAGAAGGAGTGAGAATCCATCACAAAGTACATGATGTCCACCCAGCCCTCCAGAGTGATCACCTAAAGAAGAACAAAGGCAGATGAGAGGAATATAGAGAGACAAAGGAAAAACAGTAATCATACAACTCACAAAAGAAAGAAGTAGAATTCAAAATATGGAATTAAAGGAGACCATATTTCACAGTTCAGTGTGCTCCAAATACAAAGATTCAGCAGAAGACTAATCCCCAACATTTCTCTTGTGTGTGTGACCTCACACAGGCAAACCGGAGCAGTGGCCAGACTTATGGGACAACTCCTCTGGCATTTGTCCTCCAAAATTACCCGCCTCAGCCAGACAGCGATGAATGAACACTCCAACAAAAGGCTTTTCAGATGATGTGGAGATAGCAAACAAATGGTGTGGAAAAAGGAGGCTGCAGTCTGGTGGTGTGGCTGTGGCGACCTGCTAATCTTGTAAGCTCTATTTCTGATACACTAGCCACTGGGGCAATTAGGCTCCCTTTCTCCCTCTTCGTCTCCATCTTGTATTACAGGCTTGCACGTCAGCCAAACCATACCATATGTGCCTCATTGCAAAATCTCGCTTTACAAACTGACTACCTATTTTGCTCCAGTTGTTCGTCCATGCCTTGCAGGTGTGAATAGCTGTCTTACCTGAAAGATGGCAATCCAGGCGTAGAAGATGTTGTCGAAGTTGATGGCTCCCTTAAAGGGGTTGGTGTCACCAGCTTCGCATTTGGTGTAGTACTGGTTCCAGTTGACGCAGGTGGTGTTGTCAGTGCTGTTGTAAGAGTACTCGTCCAGGTTGCACTCTATGTTGTGCTCGTACAGCTTCGGCACAGAGTTGCAGTTCCTCCTGCCATTGCCTTGGGGCTGGGAGCATATGAAGGGGTTCTTGTCGTCATTTTCAGTTTGGTAGTATTTCTCCAATTTCACGCTGAGAGGGCTTTGGGGAAGAAAAAGAGAGGACATTACAGGGGTTGGCCCACTGATTGAGTCTTGGGGCTCAGCAGATTTATGACAGCACAACCTGATACCCGCTGCAGAGCATTACTGAGTTAATCAATTATATAAAATTTGCAAACATTAGCTAACATTATTCACTGTGAGCTACTGTTCATACCAGGCCAAGTAAGGCTGTAGTGGTGAAACTACTGAGTGCATTAAAATGAACAAGGGGGCGTTTCATTGCTCAACTTTCTAATAATAGGAGGAAGTATGTGTTATCTCTTCTTTCAAAGGGTACAAAATCTCACTTTAGGATCTGCCTAACCACTAAATTAAAGTATGAAAAGATACCCTTGGGTCAGGTGCTTACAACAAACTGAGATATACATTTAGTATAAACTAATAAATAGATTTGATAGATAATGACAGAGAATGTATCTCACAAGAAGAATGTAGAAATTTGCTGCTCCATGATGTGAAACCACAAGAAATTTTGGCAAAAAGATAGGAAGCTAGAGCTAAATCACATGTAGTGTGCAAAAAAAAAAAGTGCCTCCAGGAAATCTGCAAAATAACAAAAATCTGTCTCTCTTCAGCGAACCATCTTTGCCCTTCAGCCACCACTGTTCAACTGCAGTGTGCTTTTGTTGCCAGGCTGAGACAGTTAAACTGGCTGGAAGTTTTCATATGAAGTGATGATTTTGTCTTTGAATTTCAGCATACATTGGGTAGAATTTTAAGTGGCTCAAACTGCGAAGGACACAAAGTCTGCAGGCTTTAATTCCACGGTAATCCTACAGCAGCTGATTTCACTGATTAACACTCCTTCAAACAGATAGGAGAAACTAATCAGTGAAGCCACTTATAATTGTGTTGACATACCTGGGGCCAAATGGTTGGGGAGACCCCTGTGTGCATTGTGTGAGAAGAGCACACATATTTGTCTGCCTGCTACACCAGCTCTTGGCTCTGTTATAGAACACTTGTCAGTTTGGAATAACTGTGCCATATCTGACTTGTTCGTCAGCACACATTCAGCTGGCGGGCTTTATTAATTACATAGTGGCCTCAAATACTTTGTAGGACCAGACATGTCCTTTTACACTTCAGGACCGCCTTATACTGACTTATTTATTTACTGTTTCTTTGGGATGAGCTCAGTACGAAACACATTTGATTTATCGCACCCTAGAATGATGCATGGGATGTGGTTCCTACCGGGTGCTCTCACATATTCTCAATCAGTGTAATAATGAGTCACTGGCAACCCAGTTAACAGTTAACAGCTGTTACTTTGCAGAAGCACAAAAATATGGATCAGCAATATGATTTAAAGAAAAGCCGTTAAAACAGATATGCTTATGACTTTAGACATAGAGCCAGTCTTAAATGCTATTCATCTGATGCAGAAGTACAGACCTTCCAGATATATGAAGAAGGTCTAAAAATTGATGATGATGACAAAAAAAATGCCAGCTCACCAAAGCCATTATGCATGAACTTAAATTACAGCTGTGAGATGTCATAAATCCTATAGAGAGTAATGAAGCCAGGGTGACACAAGGAACATGAATAAGTCATAGGTGGCCATGTTCCATATACTGCACCATGGGCCACATGGGGTCTTTTTCATTATTGCAGGGCTTGTCGTGCTCCCATTCATCACTGTGATGAGACTCTATCATCGCTAACCTCACTGACTTTCACGCATGACCTAGTTTAGCGCGTGGGGTCAAGGTTTACTCCATAGGTTAACCTTGGCCTCCTGTAGACCTTTGTTTGCAATCTCATCAGTGTTGTTTATCTCAGCTCTATAAGATAAGTTTCTTAAATAAGAAATAAATAAGTCCAGTCACCTTGAGCACCTTTGGAATACATACGAAGGTAAATAATAGCCATGTACTTCTGTATCTTTTCAATGTCTTCTTTAGACCACTAAAAAGGATAATTTGGGTTTATAACATCATCGGTCTTCCTTTCAAAGACTTCCGCCATCCTTTCTCATAGTTAATGGTTATATATAATTACTTTAGTGAGTACAATGTTATCAACAATGAATGGAAACAATAGCAAAGCTTTAAAAAGTAAGATCCAAGCAAAGGAGAGCATTGCTGGAGTTTCCCTGAATATGGTAAGGTAAACCGTAATAAGGTAAACCAAAGTTATCCTTTCATGCTATAATTTCCTGATTTTACAAAAAAAAGGTTTAAGTGGTAAGTGATCTGATATATAATTGAAGTGTACATCTGGCATTGTTAGTGGAAGAAGTAGTCAGATCATTTACTAAGTATATGTGCAATACTACATAATAAAACTCGTCCTTTACAAGTAAAACTCCTGCATTTAAAAATGTACTTAGGTAAAATACCAGAAGTACAACATTAAAAGCTAATCGTACATCAAAAATAATAGTTATTGGCACCTGTCAGTGTTATATTATTGGATCATAATCATGAATTTATCAATATCAATATTTTTAGGGCAATATTTTTTATTGTGCTTTTAGTGCTTCATATACTGTTGGGTACTCTGATCTCTAACAGACAATGATATGTTGTGTATGTAACATTTTAATCTGAATAGTAACTAGTAGCTATACCGTATTGTAAAAAATGTAGTTTCCCTCTCAGTTGAAGTGGAGTACAATAAGTATGATGTAGCATAAAATACTCAAATAACTCAAAATGGCAATTAAGCACAGTATTTGAGTTACTTTCCACCACTGTTTATCATATTGGTGATAGTGTGACCAGTACTGTAGCTGGTCTGTCTATGCAATATTAATCCTGCAGTTCACATTACACTGAGCATTACAGATGTGGGTACTTGAATTCAAATAGATAACACGCTACACACACTAGCAAATACACAGATCAAATGGTGGCATTGTGAACTCACAAGGAGAAGTTGTCTCTCACAAAGCAGCGGTTTCTGAGCAGGCCGACCCACAGCTGGACGCCTACGATGCCGAATATGAAGAAGACAAAGAAGCAGAGCAGCAGCACGTTGCCCAGCATGGGCAGGGTGTCCAGCAGCAGGGTCACCAGGATACGCATACCTGAGAGAAGTGACAAGGACAAGGTCAAACAGCTGGGTAGCACACCAATGCACATGCAGTAGATAATACGTACTTGTGTGGATTAGGTGTTAGTTACTGTTAGAATTGAAAATCAAACCTCTTTTAAGTGGCAGTGCAATGTGTTTTTACAGAGCTGATATGAGTACTGGGTATTTTATTGAATACAGTGGTCGATATGAGCACCAATTCAAGTGCCTCTCAATTTACAGCCATTCACAGTGCCTAGTACTGGTCTATTATAACACACTTAAATGGAGAAGTGCACAATTCAGCTTCTTTATTCATTTGATCCAATTATACACTTGCCAGTGGATGCTATAACACTTTTTACAGTTTAATGAAAATCAAATAATAAATGATAAATGGCAGAGATAATGGCCTTACACACATTACAGTCTAGTGAATTCAGCCTCTCTGTGTTTTATATTATTTAAACATCTTAATGAAGGACTGTCAAAACAGGGTCATTCATTGTAGCAGATGCAGAGCAGTGCTGTGGGTTACTTGTAAACAATATGGGGTCTGGCTCTTGACAAACAGAAGTGATTCAGTATGTTAATTTGTCAGGAGGATGTTTCTTTCTGCCACTGGGAAGGTTTTCAGGAAATGAAAATGAACAAACTGCTAATAATAAAAAACTGAAAAATGACTGATGTATGCCACTCTTGCTCTATTGGCATATGTTGATGCCATTCTACTGATTTATTGTATTGGTATGTCAGTCATGTTTCACTGTCACTAGTATATACCAATTGTTATTGACATATGTCACTATTTATTGTGTTGGGCCACTGCTGTGCACAAATTGGCAGATACTGTAAGAAAATATCCAAAAATATAGTTTTGCAATATTTTGTTTGGTGATTTTGTATTGATTCTAAAAAACACAATTGATTTTTGTGTTTAAACAACCGCTAGATAGCAGTTTGGGAATGTAAGCTGAGGGCTATGATGTTGGATGTTACAGGGACTGTCTGGAAAAAGGATTGACTACTGCAGTGGTATTTTGACAGGATTCCCCCAAAAGACCGTCAAAAAGCTTAAGTTTATTGAAAATGCAGTTCTTAAAAAACATAAAACTTTTGTCACAGCCGCCACAATATGTAACAATTTTTCAGAAAATGTGTCAGATTGTTACAAAATGCGGGTGTTATTACATAATGAAGGTGTAAAGTCATAATTTTGTGGAGTTATTACATAAGTTCATAATGTGCTGGTACATACCTTTCAGTATAATATTATGGCAACAGCTATATGTTTTACCTACCAGTGAGAAGGGGCATCTTTCAGTGGAACAATAGAGCCATGCATATAGCATCAACATACCACAATCAGCAGCGGCATATGCCAGCAAAGAGCTGTCATAAACCAGCTGGGAGTGGTATCTGGCAGCATTTTTATGTGCCGTATGCCAGTCGAACAGCAGCTCCAAAGTGCATACCACTAAGAATCAGCACCACTAAAACACACCACTGGAATTCCAGTGGACAGCGGTACCTACCAGTAAAACAGCAGTGACAAGCCATTTATGTGGCACACAGCAGCAGCACATCATGACGTACTGCAGTAAGTGTGTCTATGAGCAAGGCACTGTACGCCAAAGATGCTCCAGCAGTAACTAGAAGCCTCATTGCACTGTTTGCGCCGTATAAATATTAAACAAGCCATTGTAGAAAACAGGACGCGTGCTTAGCAACATCCTCCTCGGAATGAATAAAGGTTAAAAATACATTTGGAAAAACACACAACCAGTCCTGAGTCAAACGGAAGTACAGAGATTTGTTATCAACCTGCGAGAGTGTCAGCGGTACACCTCCAGTTTGCTCTGAATTAACGCCACAGTAAAAGACCTGCTTTTTTCGCCTTTCATACAGTACATCCCTGATTCTGTCAGCTCTGGACAGTGTTCCCTCAAGTTTCTGACAACACACACACTTCCTGCCGCCCACACACTCCCTCTGCTAAATCTGGCTGTGTCCCTCTGCTGTTGCTGCACAGATTTTGCTGTTATTTTCATCTATCTATCTATCTATCTGTCTATCTGTCTATCTATCTATCTATCTATCTGGCTGCTACTGTGTAATCTCTTTGTCTCTGTCCTCTATATGTTTCTCTCTTTCTCTCTCTGTCTGTCTCTCTCTCTCTTTCTCTCTCTCTCTCTCTCTCTCTCTCTCTCTCTCTCTCTATCCCTGCAGGCTACCCTCCCAGCAGTAACCCGGTGAGTCAAGCATCAATAATCTTCTGATCAGGGGTTTTCTGGGTAATTGGAGAGGCCAGGACAGTCCCTGTTGGAGTGCCGGCAGATCTCGTCTGCTGGGCTGACTGCCACAGAGGAACAGAGGGGACAGAGGGAAGAGATGAAGGAGAAAGCAAAACAGAGAGAGGGAGAGATGAACATAAATGCAGGGCGGCCATGCTTTAAAGTGATAATCAATTCATGTCCAATGTCTCTTTTGTCCTCTATGACAGTAAACTGAATATCTTGTTGTTGACAAAACAAGACATTTGAGGATGTCACATTTTTCTGACATTTTCTGACACTTTATGGCCCAAACAGATCATCGGTTAGTTGAGAAAATGATCCAAAGATTATTCGATCATGAAATAAATCGTTCGTTGCTGCCCTACAATTCAGTCGACCTGTTGTCACCACTTAAATAAATGCATGGTTGCAAGATACAACTTCTCATTTATTGATATAGATAAACCTTTTAAGCTGCAAACATTATTTTGATGAGTTGTGTTGACATCACTAATGTGGAAAAACTAAACTAGAGCAAGTACATTTTTATGAGTAGCCAAATCAATCAATTATTAAGTAAGTGGTAATTAAAAAATACCTTTGATTGTAGAGGAAAAGCTTATTCCCGTAACTCAATGTAGTACATTTGTTGAACATAATTTCATTAGAAGCTGCCATAATTCAAAAAGTTTAATGCAAACTGTTGCATCAATTTTTGTTGGGCCAAAACATTTGTTTTTAGAATGTATGTAACTAGGCCCCAGGGTCCATTGTCTCTTATTCCATCAATAGCACGTACTTTCTGTAAGTTCCTGTTCTAAAATTGAAAATTGCATGAATCAATTTGCATACTGAGTGCTAAAATAATGCACTGTCAACACAGAGCACAAATACAATCTGTATTTGTGTCATCTTATCTCTTTTATATGAAAAAAGGATATTCAATATATATTACGCCTATACTCAAAATGTGTTTCAGTTTAATGCGTTCCCAAAATTAGGTATATTTGAAAACATGATTCTGAAGTGACATACTATATAGATATAACATGTTTTACATGTGGTGTAATCACTGGTTTAGAGCTGCTCCTTTAAATTAAACATGTTTTTACAAGGCATGTTCAAAAAATCTGAAATTCCTTCCATGCATCAAACACCTTTCATCTATACTGTGCCATCTGGGAGCGGTGCACCAAACTGCATGAGAAACTTTTCATATTTGTAGATAGATTCTGAAAAATATTTTTTTTCATGTGGGTACACACTGAGACAGAGACCTTTGGTGTTGAGAGACGGGTAGGAAAACAAGGAGAATTTTTGCAGATCTACGAAAGATATGGAGAACAAATGAGGAGAAGACAGCCAGGAGAGGCTGGGGAGGAGATAAAGGGAGGAAAGGAGCAAAGCTTCTGCTGAAGGACAGGAGAATGAGTGACAGGGAGGAGCATCTGTGGGACGACATACATGTGTGGATTGTGTCTTTCACGGCATCGTTCTCTCTCAAAGGGAAAGATCTGAATGTGAAACCCAGCTGGGGAGAAAGTGACAGCAGTGAAAACACAGAAACTCTTGAATGACATCGAAGACTCTTGAGAAACACTGTTTTTAAATTTCAATTTGTGTAATCGCTGCCATGGTAAGCAATTGGATGCATTACTTAATTACCAGCGTAACAGTGTATACAATCAGTGTGAGATGAAAGTCATAAAGCATAAAGTATTTCTCTCAAAGTCTCATAATCACACTGTGAAAAAGTTATTAAAAGCTGTGCTACGGCGCTGTTTACAAGACAAACATCATGGCATTACTCAGGAGAAGCAATCCAATGCAGGGAGTTAAAATGAAAGTCTGAGTCGTTGCCTGTGGCGATTTATTGCCGCTTGCTCTTTGGTAGGGCACTCCGTTTTACATAACACTGAACTCACAAAGAGAGTATTCTGATGCATTCAGCTGCTGTCACACAGGTGTGGACACACCTCACCCTCCGCCTACGACAGCAAGTCCGTCCCTATCTTTCTCTCTCTTAACACGCACACATATTAAGCAGTAGCTTCCTCATAGCGTAATGTGCTGAGCTGTTAGGATGCCGCTTAGCTTAGTTGGTGACAGCGGCTGGGATTAGTGTACGCTGCAGGCCTAGGCACTTTGACTGGTTTCATGCACTGCGATCCATAGCGAAGATACGTCTGCACAATGAGAGTTTAATACTGAAATCAACCCCTGTGCTGGTATTCACACCTCTGACAGCTGCAACCATGGAGAGCAAGACGGATTCCTTGCCACATTTTCTCATTTATCATACAAATTGGCAGGATTGCAAATAGTTAGTTAATTAAATCTGAATGTGTCCAAAAGTTGTTTAAGAAAGGAGGAAGCCAATATGGATATAAACCTTTAAGACACAAAGGGTAAGGGCTACTAAAAAAACTGTAATTTATATAAAAGGGTTACATTTATAGAAAACACGCTTTAAAAAAAACAATGCTTTAAAGGTACCCTGTGGATTTTTCTTACAAAGTTATGTTTACATTTCTCACCAAAACACACTATATCTATCTTTTAGGCCACCAAATGTGTTTAATGCATTTTCTTCCTCCTACAATATTTGCAAGGTCAATTATTTTGAATAAACCTGCATTATTTCAGTATATAGGCTCCCGGTCTTCCATGTCTTTGTTGCCCCATTAATAAGTGTCTTCCACCACAGACTATCGATGTGTGGCATACTCATGAGTAT